AAATGGCCACCGGGTGCTTAAAATGGCTCCCCACTGTGCTTAGGGACGGATTCCTCGCTATACAGGCAGCAAAAATGGCCGCCGTATGGAGGATCTTCGCTGGACTGTGAGTTTTTACCCCACTGGAACACATTGAACGGTTTTCAGTGCGTTTCAATGGGGTTTTTAATTTTGCTTTACGATGTTTTCGCTTAACGGTGATTTTCCTGGAACGGGTTATCGTTGTTAAGCGAGGCACCACTGTACATGCTTAGGATTTAATTGGTTTTATTCTTCAAGAGGCGCTGAGTCCCGTCATGTTGTTTTGGAATGGGGACTTCCTACCTACCTAATGGTTGGCACTTCTCAAACGTCAAGAAAACATCAAGAGTGATGTGTCTTCCGTGCTTGCATTGCAGCTGATTTTCCAGGTGACGCCGCTTAGCTGGCCTCAGTGGGTGATGGTGCTGAAAATCTCCTTGCCCGTGATCTTGCTGGATGAAGGCCTAAAGTATTTCTCCCGCAACCATTTAGACAGTAAGTGTTTCTCTCCCTCCCCCCCCCCAACGGGTCTGTTGGTTTCCTCCTTGCTGGGAGTGGGTCCTAGACTAACTGGGCTTTGTGGCACACAACCTAAGAACACCCGGGAAAATCACACTTACAGAAACGTCTGGGTATGTATGTTTAATTCTTCTATGAAAAGAGAAGCAACCCAAACTTTATTGAATCGTAGAATCGTTGAGTTGGAAGGGGCCTCTAAGGCCATTGAGTCCAACCTCTTGCTCAAGGCAGGACAAAGGTGGGGTAAATTTTATGAATGAATGAATGAATGAATGAATGAATGAATGAATGAATGAATGAATGAATGAATGAATGAATGAAAGTGCATAGTCCATGAAGGAAGCTTCCATGTACTAAATCTGGTAGCTAAATGACTTCTTGGCTTGGCTTGCTGTGAGGCATCTTCTTGTACTGGCTGATTGACTGGATTGTTCCAATGAAATTTATACCACTCCATAGCGCTAGAGGACCCTCTGGGAGTTTCACAGTATTATTATGCAGGCTACCTATTGTCTCCCCACCTCAGTGAGCTGGGTACTCAATGAACCCAACCTCGAAAGAATGGAAGGCTGAGTCAGCCTTGAGTCAGCTACCGAAACCTGTCTGGATCGAAGTCCAGTCGTGAGCAGAGTCTTGACTTCAGAACTGCAGTTTAACCACTGAGCCATGAATGCTCCTATCCCCTATACTTTCCTATCTAGAAACAAAGTGGAGCAGTCCTAGCCCGCATGTTGATGTCATTTGCAAATCCTGTAAAACTGACGGTGACATGGAGGCATAAGAAGCAAGCGAGCATCTTCTGCCCGCCAGGGAAACCTGCACTGCTGGAGACCATCAAAGGGCCCTGCCATCATCACAACATTTCCATAGTGACTCAGAAACGAGGGACATAGACTAGTCATTAGGTCTCCTTGGAAGCCGATAGCCTTGTGATCATCTGGCCTTGTTGGATCGTCTGCCTTTCTTTGCTGTTACTTTCCAGCCAAATCCCCTTTGAAGGAAGGTAGAAGAGAAAAAACACTTTTGATATATTTGGCCCGAAGGGGACACGGGGTTCATTTTCTGATAGAACGTCGTCTCCTCCTTCCATCTTGAATTAGCATGTTTTTAAAAAAAGGACGGAGGCCTTGATGAACACATCATAAACCCCTGGCCCGGGGTTGCTATGGGAACAACCTCCTGGCCCCTGTGAAAGAGCCAGCTCTAGCATCTTCAACAAAAGCAGAATTTCCTTGGTTCTCTATGGGAAAAAAATTCATTTATTGGTTTGTTTTGTTTATTTATTTATTGCTGCGCCGTTCTTCTCCCCAAAGACACCGTAAACAGCTCAGAACACAATCGCCCTACCTATGTAGCACACACAATAAATAAAATATTTTGCATTCGCGAGGAAAGCTAGGAAAAAGGAGCAGCAGTCTAGAGGGTTTTCTCTGACCTTCTCTGCCACTGAAGGAATGCTTGCTTGCCCCATAAGTGGGGGGAAGAGCAGGTTCCTCCTTTAACTGTAGTTATGCAAGTCTCTCCCGGACAACGCATTACAAATGTTACCTTTTTGGGTAGAATCCTGCAGCCCGCACGAAAAAAGAGCCTGCAAGAAAGCACGTTTTTGGGTAGCGGTGGGCTTTGATGGCTCACCGAAAAAATGCATCTATTCGGAGAAGGGAACAGAGGGATTGATACCGATATTTGCAGACATGAAAATCTGCAAAAAAAATGCTACAGGTCTTTATGAAAACATGGCCAAGGGGCCGGGTGGGGTGGACATAAGCCTGGAAGAGCACAAAAGCCCATCGTCCCCATTGATTCGTTCCTTGGGCTGCTGGGTTTTCACCTGTGGCTGTGGACGTGGCCCGGAGCACCTTCTTCCATTGACTCACTGCCGTCTGCTGTCCTAACCGGCCCTTCGTTCTGGGGACGGGACGGTTTCCGGCAGCGTGTCCTCTTATTTTGAAAACCATTTAAAAAAATCTTAATTCATTGATTGACTGCTTCTTGAAAATAACTCAGTGGAATTGCTCATTCTTTAAAATGGGATTCCTCTTGTGTTGATCTTTTGACATTGTATTTTGCCTTTTCTCCCACCAGTCCCTTGGTCACGAAAACTTACAGAAATCTCTCTCTCTTTCTCTCTCCTCTTGTCCCGAAGGCAAAGAGAACCAGAAATGAACCCTCTACAAAGGGCGCTCCGTTTTCTCCGCGCAAGAACCATAAACTCCGACTCGGGACGAAAGACTTTGCATGCTTGAACATCACCAGAAGCCACTCAAGGGATATGCATGTTTTTTTTTAAATTTGACGTCTCGGACTTCATGCGGGTGAAAATCGTCAACCGAAAAGAATGGAAAAAAACTGATTATTTTATTTTATTTTATTGGTTTGGGGGCATTTTCTTTTTGTTTTTACTTATGTTATGTAGCTCTCTTTTTTTCTGTACATAGTGGTGCAAAGACTGGATCACTAAATTATGGGGCGGGGTGGAATTTGTTCTGTTAAAGAAACGAGGCAACCCAGATCTTCCGAGGTCTGCTTGCACAGATTTTAATCCCTCTTTTCCTGTAATAATTTTATTCTTCTTTTCATTTTCCTCTTCCTCCTTGATCCTAACAGCATCATTTCCCCCCTGTCTTCAAGTAGAGAGAAACAGAGTTTGAGATCGCTTGAGGGTAACGTGTATGATTTGGGGGAGTCACACTGGACTTTGCTTGCATGTCGTTCCTCATGTTGCCTTCGGTGACATCCAAAAGCTGGCTTAAAGTTTCCAGCCTATATGGATTGGCTGCAGCAGGAAAGATCCAGTTTCATCATCTCCTGCCTTTCTTTTCGCAAGAGTCTCCCATAAGCTCCCATAAGATTTTTCAGACACTCTTTCTGATGTGGAAATGTGGGAACAGTTTTCAGAGGTGAGTTAAGGAGGTCAAGTCTGGGGACCTCAGGAAAATCAGCCAAAAGAAGTCCTTAAAACGAAGACATCTCACAGAGCTGTAGAGCTGTAAGGGTTCTCGAAGGTCATCTAGTCCAGCCCTCAGCCACTGGAGGAAAGCTCCCATGACTGATGGCCACCCAATCTCTGTTTTCAAAACCTCCCACGGAGGAGATCCCACCGCTGTCCAAGGCAGTCAGAAAACTCATACCTATTGGGACGTTCTTTGAGGTTTAAACAGAATCTCCGCTCTTGTAATTTGAACCCAAGGGTTTCTATCCTGCATTCTGGATCACAGGAGAACGACCTTGCTCCTCTTCCATGTCACATCCCCTTTGTGTATCTGAAGATGGTTCTCATCAGGGGGTAGGCTAGATGGCCTTACAGGCCCCTTCCAACTCCATCCTCCTATGATTCTATAGCACCTCTAAATCTGTTCTTTGCCAGGCGAAGCAGGATCCATTCCCTTAAGTGTTTTTTTTCCCTCCACGGCTTCTTCCCAGACTGTCTTAAAAGCCTTTGTCTGACACATAACCCATCTTTTCCTAGAAATTGAGTTCCAGCAGTTTTTCCATACCTTAGTGTCCTCACACCTCTGGGTTTGAAGACTATTATTTCTTAGGATTTTTTCTTTTCCTGCAGCCAGAGGAAAGCAGGCTAAAATGTAACTTTTCCAAGTCCTTGCTTGGGGTGGGTGGGAAGTACATTCCTAGGCAGAAGGGTTTGGCCTGCGTCCCAACTACTTAAAACATTCTGTCTCTATCTGGAATTGTTTTTCCTCCCGTTTCTTTTGGCCAAGCTTTCTTGCATAACGATGGATGCCCCCGACGGACGCTGGCAGCTGGCTGAGTTCCAGAGGGCCTAGATGTTAAGAACTCCCTGCCTCTAGAAAGCTAGTAAGTCAGGGAGAACAATTCCAGGCTGATAGGCTAGCTTTCTCTATATTTAAAAGCATTTTCCCAGGTGGCATATAAATCAGACACGGATCTGTCGCTTCTTTGAGCACCAGGGCCGTACACGTACATCAGGCGTGGACCGCTGGTAATGTGCGTCCCACAGGCCGCGAGCAACCATCTTTTGAAAAACTAGAAGTGTCTCGTTGCTTATTGTTTTGAAAAGAGGCCTATTAAAGACTTTTGAGGTATGGGGGGCAGCTGTTAAATAGAAAACTCTGCTCCACAGAGGTCTCCAGATGTATAATTTTGCATGGAAATATTTGCCCCCCCCCCAAAAAATTATATATCTTTTATTTTAAGTCCCAGAGCTGCTGCATAGCCAGAGATCTGGGTTCGATTCCTCACCGTGCCTCCTTCACTGGATGATCTATAGGGTCCCTTCCAGCTCTGCATTGCTAAGAGGATGATGATGGTTAAGCTTGATCTCCCATCCAGCACATGGTGAGAGTCTGAGACGTGGAGTAGTCTGAAATCTGTGTTCTAGACAGCCTGTCCTACACGCTTCAAATAGGGGGGAAATAACCAAAACATGACTAGTATGCCATGGTGAGTGGCCATCATCTTGACCTTTACCTCTGGCAGGAGAAAAAAGCTATATACTGTATATATTCTTGGTCCAGCATTGTTGACTCAACTATGTGCAGTTGGTGGCAGGAGAAATTGAAATCTACTGAGCAGCTATCTTCTAGCTAGGAACTTGCCCGTAATCCTAAGGGACTCACCAACACTATTTAGCATTTTGTCATTAAGTTCCAATCTTTGGAAAGACAGAGAGGAAAGATAGAAAGCTGTGGCTTTCTCCATGTTCTCCTGTGATTGCATCGCCTTTCCTTCCATGCTTCCTTTGGGATAAAAAGCTAGCGCCGGGATCCGGATGTTCCAGAGTCCCATCCATGTTCTGTCTGATCACCATCTTTGGGGACCAGAACTTGCCATTGGATTGAAAGACGACCCGAGTCATATTGTCAACATCCTTTTTGAGTTTGTTTTCGGTCGATGATGTACCTCAGAAGCTGGTATCTCTTGCGTTTCAGAGGGATCCTCCAGAGATCTCTGGCCCGGAGCTTGGAAAACTTAATTTTTTGACTCCGATAAACCCTCGGCTAGCATGACCACTTAAGGGGGGATTTCGAGAAGCGCCTGAAAAAGCAACTTCTCTGTTGCTTCCAAGTTCTTGTGGTGCTTGTTGGCCATCTATGCCAGCTCCTTCAAAGCGATACTCGCTCCAATGCTTTCTTGTTTAGAAATCCTACTCTTCTTAAAAATACGGATTATCTGTAAAGATGCGTTTTCATTCCTTGTTTAACTTGCCTTTTTTTTCTTCAGTTGAGGAATCCTTGTATATGTTGAAGTCTTGCTGAGGAGCTAAAGCCAAAATTATCTGTGTACAGTGAAACGATTATTCTGTGGGGGAAAAAAGTAGGCTCGTTTGTGTGTTTGTGTGGGTGATTATGTTTTGCTTTATTTGGGTTTCCTTTAAACTGGTTTGAAGCCAGTCTAAATGTGTTGTGCGGGGTCTGCTTGCACTAGGGAAGAAGTGCTTTTATCGGGGGGCGGTCAACACCCCACAGCGACAGGAGATTGTTCAAATCCGGTTGCATCTCAGGGACGTTTCTCTGGCACGCTGCACTTTTCCTGCAGTGGTGTAAAATTTTCTAGATCAAAGCTGTCGTTTTGATGCCATCAAGAAATCTTGTACAATAAATTGGCCGCAAGAAATCCTTTCGTTGTGAGGATGTGAGAGGAGAGTTCTTGGCATGTGCTTGTCATGTATAAAGACTGCAAACATTGACTCTTCTTTTAAAAAATATGGGATTTTTTCACGCCCATCGCCAGACTTTTCTTGAAGCTGCTAGAAATATTTCGCTTGTAATCAGACCGGCGTTGTTATGCCAGAGATGGAGCTTAAGGTGGCCGTCCAGGTGTTTTTTGGACTACATCTCCCATAATCTAGGCTGGTGGGGGCTGATGGGAGTTGTAGGCAAACAGACAGTATCCAGAGGACCACAGTCACTGTCCCATCTCTGCATCGGGCAGAGACGAAATCGGCCGCAATCCGGCACCTTCTGTGCACGGGGCACGGAGGTAGCAGAATCGTGATTTATTTTAAAAAGCTGCAGGGCATACTTGAAACTGATTAAGGGCTGAACGACGCATTCAACTATATCTCCTTGCTAATGACGGTTGCGTCTGTTGTGGATCCTTGCCACTTAAAAGTCATGGGCACCTCCTGCTGGTGGGCAAGAGGCACAGTACTAGAAAAACGACGTGGCAACCCAATGTTTTGAGTTAATTTCCTGTTCTTTGAATGATCCCTTTGGTAAGCTAGTCATTCCTACAGCAGCAGAGATGGGCCAAACGTGGCCTTCTGGGTGGTCTTGGATTACAACTCCCAGCATTCCTTGGCTATGTTGGCTGAGGCTGATGGGAGTTGTAGTCCAAGGCCATCTAGAAGACGGCACTTCGCCAAACGTGGTCCGATACCATGTCTCAGCTTAAGACGTCAACCTGTTTAGTGCGTGCGCCCTACAGCTAAACCGAAACCAGTTTTTTTTTTAACCCTTCTGACCTGTTGTGGTTCCCCGCGCAAAGAAACAAGAGGATCGGAGCCATTGGGCGATGGGTTGTTGGGAATCACAGTCCAGGTTTTTGCGAAACGTTTTTTGACATGGCCGAAGAAAGGCAGGTTTCCAAGTCATTGGCTTCTTGTGAAAAACTGGTTGGTTATTGACGGAACCTTGTTCCCATTGGCTGTCATTCCTTTTTGCCCTCGTTGATCGAAGAACGGTGAGGTTATTCTCCAGGGGGGGGATGTTTGCCCCCCAAGAGGTGGAAGCAGTGAACAGGGAAAACAAGAGTAGTAAATGTATGTATGTGACAATCATTTGTTAAAACATGGGCACTTGTCAAATTTGAATTGGTGGTGGTGAGCTCTCTCCAGAATCTGGAGTGTAATTTTTTTTTTTAAAAAAGGAACTCAATGCATTACTCATTACTTCTCAGCAGCCAGGTTGGTATTATCATTCTTATTCCTCTGCACGCACAAGGGATTGGCTGCCCTGACGGTTATCGCATGGTATGTTGCCATGAGTCAGAAAAATGCAGAGAAATACTTTATGTTGCCCCCTAGTGACCAGTTCTGACATTGCGCCTTGGAAATGTAAGCATACAGAAGAAAACAAAGAATACTCCCCATGACCAATTTAGAATTAAGAACAGAATAGCCGAAGACCTGAAAAATTGTTCTCAAAATGCATTTTAAAGTAACTACTTGTTCCGCATACTCATCACCCCCCCGAAATCTCTCTTGTTACTAGTTACATTCTTTGTTAACAAAAAAAGAACTAATTATAGATAATTATGTTGCTTGTAATTAGTTATCCTTAAAAATTATTTCTGCTGTATTTATTAGAGAGGAGTTATGATAGTGAAATCCATTCTGATTTCCGTCTGTCGTATTTAT